TGTACTTAACATCCCGTCACCTTTTCTTCGTCACTGCTCTATACAACTTCCGGGGAACATCATTCCTTTCGAATCAATTCATTGTGGGAACAGCAACATTACTGGAATCCCATTTTATTTCTAATGGCGTTTCAGTTGATTGTGTTAGGTTTACCAGATTTATCATTCTATCAGCAAACAATGATAATATTTTTCCTTTTTTCCAGTTGCATGACATACATTGCCTATAATGCATACACTAATTTTAAATATCATTTAAAATCTATATACTACCATACATTCACATACTAATCTTTAAGTACTTCAAGAGTGTTATAAGACGATAACAATGCCTTTTAAATAAGACAAGGCATTGTTTCTATAATATTGAGGAGGCCAGATTAGAAGTTGCTGGAATGAGTAAGTTGCAGAAAGCTTTCTCTATTAATACTTTGTTGCTTATGTTTTAAAAAATTTATAAAATTTATTTAGACATTTTCAATGCTAAGAAAATAGTTGATTTTGCTAATCTGAATGTCTTTACTCAATTGAGTACACTTAGTAAATGTTTGTTGGTGCTAATGTTGCAGACAGTTGGAGAAATGTTTGGAGGTAACCAGAGTGGGGTCTCAGACTTCATACTCCTGGGGATCTCAGAGAGTCCTGAAGACCAGCGCGTCCTGTTTGGGATGTTCCTGTCCATGTACCTGGTCACGGTCGTGGGAAATGCCCTCATCGTCCTGGCCATAGGCACTGATGTGCGACTGCACACTCCCATGTACTTCTTTCTGGCCAACCTCTCCTTCACTGATCTCTTCTTTGTCACCAACACAGTCCCCAAGACGCTGGTGAACTTTCGATCCCAGAACAAAGCCATCTCCTATGCAGGATGCCTGACACAGCTCTACTTCCTGGTCTCCTTGGTGACCCTGGACAACTGCATCCTGGCCACAATGGCATATGACCGCTACATGGCCATCTGCCGTCCACTTCACTATGTCACAGTCATGAGCCCTGGGCTCTGTATTTTGCTCCTCTCTTTCTGTTGGCTGATCTCTTTCCTCTATGGTCTCTTCCTCACCCTCCTCATGGCCAGGGTCACCTTCTGTGGGTCCCGGAAGATCCACTACATCTTCTGTGAGATGAATGTCTTGCTGAGGCTCGCGTGTTCCAACACCCAAGTCATCCACATGGTACAGACTGCCACGGGATCCTTCCTCTTCTTCACCCCCTTAGGGATCATAATTCTGTCCTATGTCTGGATTGCCACAGCCATCCTCCGAATACCCTCAGCCTCTAGCAAGTACAAAGCCTTCTCCACCTGTGCCTCCCATTTGGCTGTGGTCTCCCTCTTCTATGGGACACTTTCTATGGTCTATCTGAAACCCCTGGAAACCGACTCTATGAAGGACTCAGTGGCCACAGTGATGTACGCTGTGGTCACCCCCATGATGAACCCTTTCATCTATAGCCTGAGGAACAAGGACATGCATGGGGCTCTGGGAAGACTCCTCCTGGGGAAAGCCTTCCAGAGGTTCACATGAGGGTAATTTTGGACAAGACATTACTGTGAAGACTGGGACTATCCTCTACCATGTGCAGGGCATATCCTATCGGGGTGACAGGAGTGATTAGACATAGTTCCAGCTCAGAATGATCTCATATATGTGATGAAAGAAAAGACATGTATGTGTAACCCAAAGCCGCCCAGACCTCACCAGCATTGGTAATAAGTCAAGTCACACAAACAAAAATACTAGAAGTCTGCAGACTCAAATCCTTTAACTTGCCTGAGCACAGGACCACAGTCCCAGACTTATCCAGATATATCCAGTTAGAGCCTAGGGAGACCACTTGTGTCCTCTGACACCCATACGCTCATGTTCCTGAGCTCTGGCCTTTCCTAAGGAGCCTGCCGCATAGAAGCCGTTTCTAGAAGACACTGTGTGCTACCCCTCTGCAGGTGTCCCGGGTGAGGCTGCCCCTTACCTGCGGCGGGGCCAGGTCAGCTCCCTGCTTTAGGACTCACCCACAGGCCCTCTGGACACAGCCCCTGTATTCCAGGCAAATATAAGGAGTAAACCTGCCAGTATCCAGAGCATTTTCTCAGTCCCTTGAGTTTTTGCTTCCCAGCAATTGCCATCCGTTTGGCTTAAATAAACTCATGAAAGTTCACTACGGGTTTGAACATTTCTCATGTTGAAAGAGGTTTCCCAGTGGTGTGTCCAATGCCTTTTTCTCCTGTACACAATGCACAGGAATATTTTGCAGTTTTGGTACAATATCTGCAAATAATTCTGAGACAATTGAACCAACTTGTTTGCCTTGGATGTCCACGTCAAAGACGACTTGGGGGTTACTGGGGTTGGAGAGCTTGGTTTGGGGGAATGGGTGTGACATTTTGATTTGCAGATGAGTTTGGAAGTGGGTTTGTTGCCAGAGAAATCAGTAGGTCCTTTTCCCCCAAGTTTAGTGGGAGTGGGTGGCTCTTGCAATACCTTTAGAAAAGGAATTTTCTAAAACTCGGAAGGGAGAGTGAATGGCTTTTATTGGCGTGGAATTCTATGTCTCAGGTTGCAAAGCCCCTTAACACAGTCCTGGAAAAGGTGCCGCTGGGGCTCCAGCAGAGCCAAAAGCAGGGCCAGTGTTCAAAGGGTCATTTCCACATTGGAGCTGGGGCCGATGGAGCATTAGGCTAGTTAAAGTCCGTTAGTCCACTGCGTGGAGTCCACGTGGCTGTGGGCCCTGTGGGCAGGTGCAGGGCCCCCCAAGTCAGGAGTCGGGGGCGGGCAGCGAGAGAGAGAGATAGGGGCTCATTTGTTCAGCAGCTTAAATATCAAACCTCCCCACCCTTGCAGTGGCCTCGCCTCCCTGGCCACGGACTTGCTCCCAGGTACCACTGACAGGTGGCCCTGTCCGGGTCCCCCAGGCTTGCTGGGCGCGCCTCTACTGTCCAGGCCCTTCCCCCAGCTGCTTGCGGGGACCGGACCCAAGGGTGTTCACTGCAGCTCCCTGGCCCAGCTGGGGGACTGGCAGGCTACACCATTCCGTCTGCCCTCACCCCCTCCTGTTATTGAATAACCAGGTTATTATAATGGGACCGGGCTCAGGGCACCTCATGGCCACCCGGCGGCCCTCAATGTGCTTAAAGCCCAGCCCTCCCCAGCCCGCAGGGCCACCTTCCGGGACCGAGCCCAGCCCCCTCCTCCCTGTACAAATGTCCCCTGGAAGCCCATCTCCCACCCCTGCCCTGGGGTCTACACCTCAGCCTCTCCAGCTTTCTTCAGCCTTCTCTGCAGCAGAAACCGCGTCCAGCAGACCCAGCATGAGAAGCCCACCGCGGGCAGGGCCCCCACAGGGCCCCGGGGCTCCCACTCCAGCTTCGGCAGCATCTGTGTCCTGCTCCAGGGGCAGCTTCTCTTTGAAAGAACAACTGACTGACAAACAATGGTTATTTAGACTTCAGTATTTGCCGGAGATTTTCTCAGAACCGAATGAAGTCAGCCTATCCCTGTTAGGAAAACAACCAGCAGGATCTGCTGCCCATAACATTTGAGCTTTCAAGCAAAGAGGAAAATTTTGGAAGACTTGTGTCTGCCATGGTGAGCTCAGCAGCTTCCAAAAGGCAAGACAGACCAATGAGCTTTGATGTCACAGAGGAGGAAAAGTTCACTGACGCGGCGTCAGATTGCACGTGGCTACTGACCTCTGAGAAACTGCCAGGTGCCCAGGTGCGATGCAGTGGCAAAGAGGAGCAGCCACAGTTACCCGCGAGACTGTCACAACCCCCCTTTCCGGTGATGTTGGCACAAGGCCCTGTGTCCTCACGCCCTTCAACCAAAGTCCGCCGTCGCCGCGGAAGGCAGAGGCATCTTGGCACCCCCGACCTGCTAGCAAACCAGACGCTTCATAGATTTGAAAAAAAGTTAAACAGTGCCACTCTTCACACTAAGTTTTTGTTTTAAAATCTATATTATTTTCCATTGAAATTTCTACCATGTTCACATGGGATGGGCACATGATTACTTTTTAAGTGAACAAATAAATATTCTAAATGTCCTTCTAATATGACAATATTGATAGCTACAACCCAGGTCAAAAAAAAAAGCTCTGTGGGTTTTGAGGTCCTCAAAATTTTTGACACTGTAAATGTACCCTGACACTAAAAGTTTGAGAAGTGTCTCCTAAACTACAAACATGCTGGAAAATGATTCACATCAAATTCAGGAAAGTGGTTCCTTTGAGAAAGAAGACTGAATGGGGGAAAGGAATTTGGAAAATGCTTTAGTAGTATTGACTCAATAAGGTAACAAGTCAATATCATTTAATTTTTTAGCGAGTACCTATATACCCCAAATTCCCATATTTTATTATATGTTTAAATTTATTCATTTTACTTTTATTTTAAATGACATGAAAGTATGATTTGCCATTGGGTTTTTGACTTGTGAATGGGAGGAATGATCAGATGTGGGAAACACATTTCTTTCTCTTCAAAACACATAGAAAATCTGCATAATATACTTTTAATTTTAAAAATAATCAGGTTCAGAATCCTAGATGGAAAAATGACCAGATTCCAGAAGTGGAAAGGGAACCGTTAACAGTATGGAGGTGAATCAGTGGTCTCTGGGAGTGCTTTGGGGGTGGAATTTTAACTCCTATAGAGATAGGGGGATCTGGAACTGGACTCCCTGTGTATTAAAAATAAAAGAGCTGAGGAAACTCTGTCCACTCATGAATAAATCCTGGAAAGTTTCCATCCTCTGACCCAGGATCATAGCTGGAAGTGAACCGCTTATCCTCAAACCATTCATATTTCACACAACTTTATCCCCATGTGTCAAGCCTTAGGAAAGGTCATCACCTTGATCTGTCACTTCACTCCTTTTTATACTATCAGGAAGGCAAATGAAAAAAAATTCCCTTTCACAATTGCATCAAAAAAATAACAAATACCTACAAATAAATTTAACCAGGGAGGTAAACTATCTGTACTCAGAAAATCATAAGACACTGAAGAGAGAAACTGAAAAAGAGACAAAAATAAATAAAAATAAAATGGAAGCAGACACCATGTTCTTGGACAGGAAAAATTCACAATGTTAAATGTCCATACTACCCAACGCAGTCTCCAGATTCAATGCAATTCCCATCAGAATACCAAGGGTGTATTTCACAAAACTAAAACAAATAATCCAAAATTTTATATGGATCAGCCAAAGACCCCAAATAGTCACAGCAACCTGGGAAAAGAGGAACAGAGCTGGAGGAAACGCAGTAGCTGATATGAACCGATACGACAAGGCCATAGCAGTCACAGCAGGGGACTGGCATAAAACAGAATATAGATCCGGGGGACAGAACAGAGAGCCCAGAAACAACCCACTCAGATGGTCCATTAATACGGGACAGAGGAAGCAGGAGCCTCCAGCGGGGTGAAGGCTGTTACATCAGTGACGCTGGGAAATGGGACAGACAGGTACAAATGAGTGACAGCAGCCACCTTCCCGCCCCACATAGGAGAAAGCTCGAAATGGGCCAAACAATTAAATGTAAGACTCGGTACCATAAAAATCCCAGAAGAAACACAGGCAATAAATTCTTGGGCATTTCTCTTAGTAATATTTTTTCTGCTATATCTTCTGGGGCACGGGAAACAAAGGAAAAAAATAAACAAATGGGACTACATCTAACTAAACAGTCTTTGCACAGCAAAGGAAACCACCAACGAAATGAAAGACAATCTGATGAATGGGAGAAGATATTCCCCAATGATACTCACATCTGATAAGGGGTTAACATCCAAATTATATAAAGAACTCACACAACTCAATAGCAAAAAACACACAAACAATCCAATTTAAAAATGGACAAAGGACCTAAAAGGGCACTTCTCTAAGAGGACATCCCAAAGGCCAATAGACCTAGGAAAAGATGCTCAATGTCACTGATTGCAGAGAGATGCAAATTAAATTGCCCCCTATAATTTTCCTGCATAAATCATCTCAAGAACTTACTACTACAATTAGGATAAATATGAACACCAGCCTATGAGGTCTACTGTCTCGCTCCTGCATATATGTACAGCTTCAACCAGCATTATTCTGTGTTTTCTGGCCCCAGAACTTCAGCCAGGCTGGCTTTCCTTCAGCTTGTTGAAGTCACAGAGCTCTTTCATCCCCAAGCCTCCCCGCCCCACCCTGGCCCCTGGAGTGAGTGTCTCTCAGTCTTCATGTCTCTGCCTCACTGTGGGGATTGGAACAACCGGTGTGGAGAGACTTTGGCGATATTAGTGATCTGGGCCCAGGTTCCCTGGAAGCAGAGTGGCCTGTGGGAACTGGGAAAGCGGCTACTGAAGCAGCAGCCTCAGAAAACAATGGAGCTGAGCAGAGATGTGGACTCAGCTCATTACGTTCAGCCTGGTCTTGAGAGGAGACCTGGGACCCGAACTGTACCCAGGGAATCACTCCCACTTGGAGGTAAGGAGCCAGCCTTGTCTACCCAGTGCCACTCAGTTATTGCCCACGGGCCGTGCCCCTAC